ACCCTCCCCATACTGGTTAAAATATTGTATGGTTATTTCTACTAAGTACAAAGGCAGGAGAATGACCGAGCGTCTTGAATTCATAGTAACAAGAGCAAGCAAATACAGCCATAACACAGTCAGCTGTAGCAAAGCTGCTGTGCAGAGGGCAGACAAATGAGAATTTCTGCTGCAGTACACTAAGTAATGCACCAGATCACGCTAGCAGAGCTTTAAGATCTCAGGTGGCCACCTCTAGAAATGGCATAGAGCATTATGACAGGATCTGTAAGTAGGCAAACTACTGTGGCAATTATTCCAGTGGGTTTTTTTTTTTTTGTGCCAACAATATCTATCTATCAGAGCTGATCAGAGAACAGATTCCCCACCTGTGAAAAAATGTACAGGTATGTTTAAAAGAAAAAATTCATCCCAAATCAGCCAGAATGCCAAAATTTCAAAATAAAAATAAATAAATAAATTATGGAACAAATTCTAAACAATAGGTTCTAGTCATCAAAATATATTGTTTTGATTTTGACCCTTTATTTGTGTGTGTGTAAATTTTGAAATAAAAAGACAATTGAAATGAAAAATTGACATTTTTATACCAAAAATGTCAAAATGGTTTTGTAAAAATGTTGGTTTCGTAAAACAGAATTTTCTACTAGAATGCTGTTTTGACTTATTTTTTATTACCAGGTCTAATAAGTACATCTACTTATTATGGATGGATAAGGATGATGGATGGATAAGGTGGTGCTGGACCATCTTGCAAAATTTTAAAAATAATATTTTTCTTATCCTTACCTATACAAATACATTATTTAAAATGGATAATTTTGATCTCTTCTCAAAAAGTAAGATCTTTTCTTTGCAAAAGTAAAAGAGGGGGGAAACATCTATGTTAATCTCTGGTATATTCATTTTCAATCAAACGTGATTCAGAGTTAGCCTTTTGATTACAGTATCAGGGTAGTATCCTTTAATACACCGGAGGGTTAACTATTATGACTACTACCACAAGATGTGGTGATCTAACAGATATTTCCACCTCTATTATTATGATCCTAGGAACAATGAACTTCTAACCCCTTGAAAAAAATCAAAGTTTTGAATTAAGATGGTAGCTGATTCTTATGTGTATAACAAAATTAAGTGTAACATCTGTTTATTGCTTAAATATTGCTTAAAATTGCTGAATTTAGCATATCACTGCTTTAAGTTTCCAACAAGAAACCCTCTAGTACTAGATTTCTCTGGGAACTTGTATTACTGTACAAGGTTGGTTACCTTTTAAATTATCAAGGGAAAGAAATCAGCTGCTTCTTTAAAGTAGCGCCAATGAGCCCTTTTAGAAATAGCCAATTATGAGAAAATTGACTTTCCACCTAATGATAATCTAGATATTTATATCCTCATCTGGATAGCATTTACAACAACTTGTGAATAAATAACTCATTTAACTTGTGAATAGCTCATCTAAGTCAAACATATAAGGAAAGAACAAGACAGAAGAAAGATTCATTTTTGTTTTAACTTACATTCTGTGTCCCTATTTAATTCTCTCTTCCTGCCACAATGCATAATTTACATACACTTTAATGGACTATACAAGCTATGAATCATATACACATGCAAAGATCTATCAAAAGTAATATTTAAACATTCTATGTAATAGTTGAATGTAAAAATGTATATGGAAAAAAATCAATAAACTATAGATTCCAGAAGGGGCTAATGGCCTCTTCTAACACTTGTTTTCAGGAGCTCATGGTCATCCTCTATGCTAGAAACTGTATTTCTTCCTGATCCTCCTAATCACCACTGTTCTTGTTTTCCAGTAACTGTCTTAATCGTTACATACATTGGGCTTGATTCACCCAATGCATGCTGTGAACCTTGTTGCAACAGTGAAACTAGTTGTGCCCTGGGAACATTTTGATCCTTCCAAGGGACCCAGTCTTGGGACGGTAACTTTAATGTTGTGTTGGAATTTCATGTGCGGCCCGCTGGTGAAGTTGCCTTAGGGACATGTTGAATCAATGTTGTTATAATGTGTGTACATCTGTGTGATTTTGGGATGCCACACTAGTTACTAGCAGGACACATTCATCAAATAGTCGTATCCCTCGTCAGCTTTTCTATTATCTGCCCCACTTTGTGCCAATTTCCTCTTGCTTCCCCAACACCTCCTGCTCTGCTGTTCTTCTGCAAGACATGGGATGGGGATTTGTCAAAGTCAATGAGCACTTTATTACAGGGAGAGTGCTCAGTAATGAACAATTCAGCAATTTAATGAGATTCTGTAGATCTGTCTCCAGCCTGTCCATCAAGTTTCACTTCTATAAAGCACCCTGACACTAATCCTCTGGCATACCCAATCTTCACCCTGGGCTGAATATTAGATTCTTCCATGGTATATTACATTACCACTATAACCTTAGCAAAAATGATGAACTTAACTACACTTGAGGCAATATAGCTGGTCTGATTTGATTTTCCTCTATTGGGCTGACTATGAGGGAATTACTTATTTACTAAGATAAAGCAAAAACAGTTTCTTATTGCCTGCTGAATGCCTAAATTGGTAAATATTTATGTGTGTCTTTTAATTCATTCTGGAGAACCGGGAACAAAATATATATCTATATTTTGCCTGGAGCAAAAAACTAGTTTAAAAAATTCTATATAACAGCATTAGTAACCTTTAGAGAGGCAATTATGATAATACTTAAATGGACAGTGTAGAGTTTGTTGTCACTCAAAAAGAAGCACATTACCACTCCTGTACACACAGCAGTATCTGCAGCATGACCTGCAACATTGGCATAGACACTATCATATTTGCCATCTGTAGTGACTGCCGTACTGTATCACAGACCATTAAGAAAATCTTTCCTACATTTGTCTCATAGGGCCAGGGCAGTGTCAAACTACCAGAGACCTAAGAACTGGCAAACTTGTGGGAGAAGGGGGGGGGGGGGGGGGGATAGCTATACCATAATGACCCACACCTGCAGGCTACTTCATGCAGCTTGGCTTTCTGCAGCATTTCTCCTACCAAAAATATCTCTAAGCACTTTGCTAAACAGTGCTTTACTCTGCTTTTGTGTCCAGTTCCGGGCACCACATTTCAAGAAAGATGTAAAGAAACTGAAGACGGTCCAGAGAAGAGCAACGAGAATGATTAAAGGTCTAGAGAACATGATGTATGAAGAAAGGCTGAAAGAATTGGGTTTGTTTAGTTTGGAAAAGAGAAGATTGAGGGGGGACATGATAGCAGTTTTCAGGTATCTAAAAGGGTGTCGTAAGGAGGAGGGATAAAACTTGTTCATCTTGGCCTCTGAGGATAGAACAAGAAGCAATAGGCTTAAACTGCAGCAAGGGAGGTTTAGGTTGGACGTTAGGAAAAAGTTCCTAACTGTCAGGGTGGTTAAACACTGGAATAAATTGCCTAGGGAAGTTGTGGAATCTCCATCTGTGGAGATATTTAAGAGTAGGTTAGATAAATGTCTATCATGGATGGTCTAGACAGTATTTGGTCCTACCATGAGGGCAGGGGACTGGACTCGATGACCTCTCGAGGTCCCTTCCAGTCCTAGTATTCTATGATTCTATAAACACTTGAATCCTGCAGTGAATTAATAATGAAAGCAAATGGGCCATTCAGCAATATCCTCACAATCTCACTCATCAAAGCTGCTTTACTGAGCAAGGGAATCATAAAATCAAAGGATTGGAAAAGACCTCAGGAGGTCATCAAGTCCAAACCCTTGCCCAAAACAGGACCACGCCTAACTAAATCATCCCAGCCAGGACTTTGACAAGCCAAGACTTAAAAACCTCCAGGGATGGAGATTCTACCACCTCCCTAGGTAACCCATTCCAGTACTTCAACACTCTCCTAGTGAAATAGTTTTTCCTAATATCCAAACTATACCACTGCAACTTGAGACCATTGCTCCTTGTTCTGCCATCTGTCACTACTGAGAACAGCCTCTCTCCATCCTCTTTGGAACCTCCATTCCAGGCTAGGATTTCAGAGTATCTCCTTCTCCTTTATAAGAGAGTATAGCTTCAGGGGATCTCTCAGAGATGGGCCAAAGGGGTCCAATTTTTCATCTCAATTTACTGGAAATAGCATCTTTGGAAATGACTCCATATTCTACCCCAAAATCTGGGAAATAAATCTGTGTTGTAGTCACTAAAATAAAGGATTGAACTGTATCTCCACTTTGCCTTAGTAGTTTGAAGTATACATAGCACTGTTCATCTGCAGATCTCAAAGTGCCTTACAAAGGAAGTCAAGTATCATACCCCCCACACCCATTTCACGATGGGGAAATCAAGGCACAGAGCAATGAAGTGATTTACACAACGTCACCTAGCAGATAAGTAGCTTACTAAGAGAGCCATAAATAACACTCAGGTTTTCTGACTCCCTGTCCTGTTCAGTAGTCCCTAGTGCCTCCCTTTTTATGAGACAAAAAGTATTCTCCAAAACCAATATATTTAACAATTTGTTCTTACCCTGCCCTGCCTCTCTCCTATATTGCATGACAGCAAAAAAGAAACAAACGGAAGTCTTTCTCTAATGAATATTACAGATGTTTACTCCGTTATATTCTTGAGTTCCCATTTTCATAGATTTCACAGTGAGATTGTGTCCCAGATTTATATTTTTTTGGTAGCAAAACATATTATAGGTTTACCATAGCATTGTTTCTTTAGCATTAAAAGCTATTAAATCACATTTGGTATTATGCAACAATGTTATAATTTTCTCCTGCTAACATACTACACCACACAAGTCAAACAACAAATGTTTTCTTACAAATTAACTGTATTAAAACAACAGAGCAGATCCTGTATTATCATCAAAATCAAGTTTTTCCCCCCTTGCTTCCCTGAGCTTTTAATCATTTTAGTGTCTCCCACACCTGCTCAAGGGCTCCAGAACAAATGTTCCCTGGTTTTATACAGTGTCACACATTACATTAACTAACTGATTTCTTTACCTGCCAGATTTGCTCTTCACTAAGGGAAGTGAGTCGATCGCTCTTCAGGACCTCTCGAAGGAGACAGTATGGGAGAGCTAAGACTTCCTCCGGGTGACCCTTCAACAGTTCAGAGAGGTGTTTAACTAAGAAGTCAACCACTGCTTTCTCCAGCAAAGTGAGGTTAAAGAGATCAGCAAGCTTATACAGGTCCAAGTAATTAAAGCTATTCAATTCCTGGATGGGCAAAGCAGAAAAAAGGTATTTCAGAAAATGAGGCAAAAGAAAAATTGAGGAGAGCACAGATAGGTTGTTTTTTAAAATTTCCATTAATTAAAAACTTTTGTTATAAAACAATTGCTCGTTATTGATTGTTCATTATTTCATCTGCCTGGAAAAGAAGTACTTTCATAAATAGGATTTCTAGTTTCACTGTAATTTCACCAAGGACTTCTGTTTTCTATGCTGAAATTATATGTTTCTATTTACAAATATATCATCAGTGAATTAAAACTGATTTCCCTTCACCTCCTGCATCAAGACTATCCTGATTGCCACATATCCCTCTAAAAGTAGAAAAATAAACATTCACAACATTCTGTTGCTAAATCAGAGCAAAAGTACTTTCTACCAAAATATCAACAGATCATACAATATAAGGTCCACATTTTCAGGCTGGCATATTGCTGCAATTACTACTATCTGGGAAACTTACAACATCATTTTAGATCTCATGCTTTTCAATCCCAAGATAATGTCTTCATCTATGTTAAAACACCACCAAGTATACTAGGCATTACTTTTTTTATTTAAAAAAAAAGGGTCTAGAAAATAAACAACCAAGTAACTAGTCACCTAACTGCCAATATCCCTAACTCCTCCCCCCCTCCCCCCCCCCCCCCCACCACATCC